CTTTCCTGACTTTATAAGTTTAAAACAATATAAGACACAGTTAGAGTACGCCACTTAGTGTTAATCAAACAATTCTGATTTTAAACTGAGGCTTATGTTTTTTATTTCCTTATGCTTGAAGAAACGCTGCTGTAGTTGTCAACTAATCATACGCTCTGCTGGACGAGGTGTCATAATATAATGTAATATAATGTGTAATAAAGTAATATCTTCCGTTAGCACAAGGTGAACGGAGCTAAAGTGTTCATTCAACTCCTCTGATAGCATCACTTTAAATTTAGATCATAATCATCCAGTTGGTGGACATGATTATGAATATTAGAATCTGTGGCAGTGGAGCTGTAACGTGTTCATACGTCTCCTCTTTTGAATGAATGACCAGTTCAAGAGCTCGAAACGTGTCAGAAGTCTCTTCATTTAATCCAAAAGAAAGAATAAATAGGAATAAGTTGAACGTCCTAAAGCCAACAACAAGTCATCAGAGCGTCGGTGGGGACAGGGTTGTGTGTCGAGCATGTCGGGCGGGAGAAGTCAATCTACAGATTTAAAGATTAAAAGCAAGCCTCCGTTAATGCACCTTTCATTAGAACGGGATTACTACAAGTCACATATGGAGAATCAATAACCTCTATCTGGACTAGCATGGATCGTGGACCCCCCTCCCCCCAGACCCGTTAGGTAAATATCAGACGAGCTCTTAAAGCCCATTTTAAAATTCTTTATTCCAGTAAATCTCTCCTCCTCATAACGGAGTTAATCTGCTCATAAAGTTAACCTTTCCATCGTTTAGTTTTATTCTCTTTAACAGACCACTTGGGGGGGAGAGGAGGGGGGAGTTTACCTTTCTGTCTTTTATTTTCCCTTTTTGTTTATTTTATTTTAAGAAAGTCTTACCGATCCATGAGGTAATAACTGCAACGCTTAAGAAAACCAAAAACTAAAACAATAAACTGACTAGGATTTTGGCAAAAAGACCGGTCTGTAAAGCAGCAATAACAAATATCTTACCTGTTGCAGAAAGCTTCAGGAGTGGTCTGAGCTTGGAGAAAAGGAGCTGATCGATGAGTGATGTGGTTTAAATTCATATTTTTTTTATTTGTTTATTTAACTTTTATTTATACAGGTTGTATTTACATTTATTTATTTATACATAATTGTATAAACTAATCTTCTGAGCATTTAGAGGCGTGCGCAGCGTTTGGTGCCGTCAGGATTTACATCCAACAAGAATTTGAAACGTGTTCCTGCTGAAACAAACCTGAACTGTATGACGGCTGTGTAAAAGTTTAAAATGAGTCTGCATCAAACTGTGAACGTGTGAAGCCTGGAGCGGTTTTAAGATGGAAAACAACTTTGGGAGGGGTCCATTTGGATTGACCACTTTCAGCTCGTGGGTCAGTTGAACAAAAGCAGAAGTTTGCTGACCTAAAACAGAGGCAGGTACTTAAACTTAAAACCCTGCATGATGCGAGTCCTGGATCATGGAGACGTTCAGACTTTTAAATATTAAACCGTGTAAACAAAAACAGTTCAATGCTAAACTGAGAGCAACGTAAAAGTTTAAAAACTGTGTAATCTGCTCATAAATGGAGATTTGATGTTAGTTCATCAAAACTGTAGTTCACCAACTGAGGTCAAAACATCTACAACAGGTAAGATATTTATTTTTTTATAACTTCACTACAGAAAATCACTTTAAAACCAAACCACCCATCCATCCATCCATCTCCATCTCTCTGTCCGTCCGTCTGTCCATCCATCCATCCATCCATCCATCCATCCATCCATCCACCATCCGTCCGTCCGTCCGTCCGTCCGTCCATCCATCCATCCATCCATCCATCCATCCATCCACCGTCCGTCCGTCCATCCATCCATCCATCCATCCATCCATCCGTCCATCCATCATCTCCATC